TTACAACACAAAACAACAACGGACTGATTGGCCAGCACCAATCAGCACCAATCTACCAATCATGATACAACCACACAGCCAATCAATCCACTTACTGAAATAAAGCCAGCACCACCACCACCCCACACACACCAAGATTTATAGAAAGACGGCAGCTCCGACCATGCTTTAAGCCGAAAACACCAGTCTGAAGATGGGAATGAGATCTCACCGAAACGTTGCCAAGACAATCTCAATCTTACATGGGAAAAGACCCGAATACAATAAGACCAGCATATATACATATTTTTTTTGCTCGCACAGGCCCAAGGCTGAAGACACCAGCCTGAGGATGACGAGTGGGACTTCGTCGAAACGTCGCCAATATCAATCTTACACGGGAAAAGATCCGAATACGCCAAAACCTGTATGTATGTAATTCAATCAATATTTGCCTTCAGGATCATAAGGATCAGCATATGGTATAGGATTAATTATATATGAAATTTAGACCACGATTTGCTAAGTCATGTGCCGCGCCATTTCTTTTCATGTTTTAAAGAAGCATTTTTCCAGATCTTTTTGAACTGAGGGTGGCTCACAGGAGGGAGTTGGCCTGCTAAGTTTCTTCCAGCTAAACCATAGAGGGTTAACCCCCAAATGAGCTTAATCCCCAAATGAGGTTTTTTCCCTTCCTCAAGAGAATGTTGTGCTATTTTTGTTTCTATTTGCAAAGCAAGGGAATGTACTACTTCAAGGTAACTTGAACGTCTTGAAGTAGCAGTTATCAGAAGCTGCTTGTTCTTGTGATATAAACTGTTTAAACATTTTAGAACAGTGCATTCCAAAGGTTTCTGATGGGAGATATATTGAGCATCAACATAGAGATAATTCTATGATTTATCTAAGAAACTTTGGAAATCAGCACACTAGTTTGTTACTTTGCAGAGAGAAAAAATGTAAGGGAAATCAGGAATATTCATATAAATTCTTATTTAAACATTTCTTGGTTGCTTTGATTTGGAAAAAACCTTCTTAATATTTTTAAGAAAATGGGCCTAGCAAAACAGGCAACACTGACTTAGATGGGTAATCAGATTCTTTATCAGATTGAAGGAAGTGACGCAGATATTTCTTTTGTATGGGCAGAAATATTGCGTGAGAATATGTAAAGTGGCAAGAAATGCCTTTGCTTAGAGAAGGACAACAGTGGAGACAAAAACAAACATACTTTGGCAGCACCATTGGCGTACATCTGGATCATATTCTCTGCACCCTGCTTCACCTTCAACTCAATGTTGAGCTGCTTTTCCAGACCAGCAATACGACTTTTGGTAGCTGTTGATCGACTCAAGCTGCCTGGTGATTGTGGGGCATCTAAAAAGGGATCAATTACAGACATGAATATTAGCAGGATGCACATCCTAAAAAAGAACCATCAGAATTTTTGAACAGAAAGTAAGGAGAGGGTGTCACAAGTCTAGAGGAATGGAAAGTTCTCTGGGTCAGGGACATGAGATATGGGAAAGAAACATATTTCTCTCCGATTCTCTTCCATATCCTGGGGTGGGAGGAATTCACCAATGTCAAAAATATACATTGACCAAAAAACCTCAGAAACTGTTCAGCATTTTTATATTATATTGAACAAGTCTTGTGTAGCCTCAGGGTCATCATACAAATTTCCTTTTGTGTTAATCCATCACCAAATATTGGCAAGAGAGTAATTATTTCAATTTATTATTAAAAAAAAACCAGCCAATGTAGAGTAGAATCTCTCTCTTCTTAGTTGCATTTTGTGAATAGGGACTAAATCTTGATTACTTAATTAACATAACTGCTTCTGTCAGAGATAGTGCTTCTCTCCTGCTTTTGAACTACTCTTTTAACATTCTTTTCATTCCTTTTTCCCCTCTTTTCCCCATTAACACTTTCTAGTTGATCTCTTACTTGATCATCCTTCCTTTCCACCCCAATATCTGGCTTTTGCTCTCTTGGGTTTGAATGTTAGAATGTCCATCAAGGAATGTTCTATCATCTGCAAAGTTTTGGGTAGTTCAATCACTTAACTAGGTAGGAAAGAAATGTAAGTAAACACAATAACTTAAGAGAAGAAGTCACAAGTCTATCCAATTTATTTGGAGAAATAATTTAATATATTTTGAAAATACTCTAGTTCAGTGATGCTGAACCTTTTTCCCCTCGGGTACCAAAACCTCACGCGCGCTTGCATGTCCACCCCCATAATTTAATGCCCCCATGTGCCATA